ACTTAACACCGACAGCTAAACTGATGGTAATACTCAATGCCTAAACAAATTGATGGTATATCCGACGATCATTTTATTTTCAAAATTTTTGGTGGTGTATTATTAAAAATTATAGATAAAATCGACGATCTAACCGCTACTTTAATGACCGGTATTATTGTCGCTCAATTGATCGCCGGTAAATAATGAATTTCCTGTAGTGTCTCTTTCAAAAATTCTATTACACTCTTAAAGCTTTTAACTTCAAAATGTTAATTCATGCTCACTTGAATCTAATTCAGTTGCAAGTGTTTTTAATTCTTTGATTGCTTCTTCTAAATCAATAAGTTTAGATTTCAAGGATTCTTCATGAGTACATGATTTATTAATTTAATAGCTTATATTAATTATTTATTAATCTTAATGTTTTAATTTATATTATTTTAATTTTTAATATTGGTATTATTATTTAAATATAAACCATAATTTTTGTAACATATTTTACTCTACAGCAAAGCGATAGCCTTTTTGAAATTTTTGCACAAGGTTATGTGTTCTAATCCCAAGCGACATTAGGTAGGCAGGCAGGCATACAATGCGGTCAGGTGGACAGCCAGGTCAAGATTATTTTTAATTATTATAGTAACTTTTTTTCGACAAATAGACGCCGAAAAGTTTTCGGCAGAAAAATTTGTCAGGCTTTTTTTCGACAGGAAATTTTTTTGATGTTTGTTTTACTAACAAAAAATTTTCTACTTGAAAATTAACAATTTTCATTAGTAATATGTGATTTTCTAGTAATGTCAAGATTATGTTGTTTAATGAATCAAACTCATACAGTAAAGAGAGATGTTCTTTGTCTAAATCAATGTGCATAACTCTAATATTATCATGCTCTTTCTATAATTCAAAAAACTTTTTATTCAAACTAGCATGCATTTTCTTTAATTTTTTATATGTAACATGAATCTTTTAAAAAAATTAAAATAATTCATCATATGAAAGCTCACATATCTCATCTTGATTAAAGTGGTCAAGACTATCATTTGTCATAAGACATAGATTTGTTACCTCCTCTGCTTCTAGTTCTGATGAGTTTGAAGCAGAGTCTGCCCAAAATAGTTTCTGCATCCTTTGCTTCTCCTTTTTGACATTTATTTTATGCTTACCCTTCTCCTTGATAGGGTGAACTTTCAAGTTAGGTCACTCCAATTTTAGGTGGCCTATTTTCCTGCATTCAAAATAAATAACATCAGATGAAACTTTTATATTTTCAATAGTTCTACCTTTATTCCAATGTTGATGACATATTTACTTTCTCTTTAGAAAACTCTTAAATTGTCGAGTCATCAATGTTATATCATCATCCTCATTAGCTGTAGAGCTATCATTTTTAGATTCATCGGCTTTCAGTGCCACTACTTTGTCTTTCTTTTTGTTATATACGTCCAAAGTCTTTGACTCACACACTACAGGAAAATCACTTATTACCGGCGGAATTTTCCGGCGGCTTTCCGGCGGTCAGTTTTCCGGCGGATTTTCGGTGGATTTCCGGTGGTTCTTGACGGCTTATTTCCTACAAAATTTTCCTGCTGCTTTCCGACGGATTACCGGCGGCTTTCCGACGGCTAATTTCCCCGCAAAATTTTGCGACGGCTAATTTCCCGCGGAATTTTCCGGCGGCTTTCCGACGGATTACCGGCGGCTTTCCGACGGCTAATTTCCCCGCAAAATTTTGCGACGGCTAATTTCCCGCAAAATTTTCCGGCGGCTTTCCGACGGATTACCGGCGGCTTTCCGACGGCTAATTTCCCCGCAAAATTTTGCGACGGCTAATTGTGACACTTTGCTCATAGGTAATGAGTGAGATAAGTAGATTATCAATAAACTAAATATTTAAATAATCTTTAGATTTGTATATTGTAGTGACTTTGGCATCATAGTTACTAGGTAAACAACATAGAATTTGTTGACCTTCTTAGAGTTTGATAGTTCTCTACCTAGAGTATACAGGGGTGTCATTATTTAGAAAAAACTTAGTATACATGTATGATATACTCATATTTAGTTTCATATATAAGAGTTCATAATCATGTAAGAGAATGTTTAACCCAAATTGTTTAACTTCACTAGTAACCTCATAGGTGATGCATAACCTATCCTAAATCTCTTTCCCTATAGTAAATGTATAGATTCTTATATAGTCTTTGAATTTTAAATCACAAAAAAAAAAAGTTTAAGAATTAATATTAAGTTGAGTTAAATCTCTATCCTCATTACTCCATTCACTGAAAGGTATTCCTATTTTAATACCATTAACAAAATGAAAAGGTGCAGAATAACCCTCTCGGATCATATATCACATACGAAAATCAACAGATTGCAAGAAAGTATACATGCACATTTTTAAAAAATTAAATAGAATATTATTAGATAACAGTAGACGGGTTATAGAATAACCCCCCATAGTATTTTGATTTCCAAAATGTGTCATTTGATCTATTCTTAGGGATTTTTAAATCAGAATTCTGAGACATACTCTGATACCAATTGAAAGTTCAATAAAGGGTGTTAAGCCTCATTGAATTATCCATAGGCACACCAGGAGGGGGGGGGGGGGGACCGGGGGGGGGGGGGGGGGGGGATTTGGAGGGGGTGAATTGGTTCTTTAAAAATTTACCTCTTAGCACAAAGAAAAAGTATGTTTGATATTTTTTTTGAAAACTTGAATTAAGTATTTTGATCACCCAATACGGAAGCTAATAAAAATAAATATAATAACAATCTTAATTATGATGATATCAATCCAATCGAGTCAATCTGATACCAATCACATCATTCTCATCATGAATTTTTTAGGAAAAATAAATTCATAGGAAATTAAAATGCAAAAATAAAAAATGTCGTGCATTAGCGCCCCTTATGTCTTTTTGTAGGCTGTTGCTATCCTAATATGGTTTCTTTTGGTTCCATTTTATTTGTGTTATTATTGGTTTCGTTAGAGGGCCGGCTTATGTTTTGTGTTGTTTGTTATCATTATGCTATCTATCATTTGTATTGTTCTGTTTTTACTAATGCTTTTTTTAATGTTGGTTGGGTGTCTTTTGGTTTTGGTTATTTTTTATTACTATTGTGTCATTCTACTTCGTCATCATTGTTTATCCTTAATAGTGTTATGCTTGTTGGTGTTTGGTTTTGCTTCGGTTGGGTGTTTGCTGGTATGGATTGGGTTTTTTTTTCAAGTATGTCCTTCCCTATCATGGTTGCTTTTCGCTTTGGGGTCTTCTAATACTCTTTTTTACTTTTTATATGTGTTATCCATATTTGGATTTTGGTTTCTCTTTTTTTCATTTGATGTGTAGATCAGTCTTCCCTTTCTCTGCTGTTTGTGGATGTATACTCTCTGCAGTTTTTGCTTTCCTTAGATCTATGTTCTCTAGGTTCAACAGTTATGTAGATATCTCACTATGCAGGTAGTTTAGTTCTCTTCATATTTTTGCAGGATGATTGTGCTGAAGATTTATCTGTTGATCTCCTATTTTTTAGGTTCTGATTTCTTACTAGCCACCCTAGAATGTTACTAGGTTTGTACTAGTGCTTAGAGGGGATCTTAGGCTATTAGTTTTTCTTTTTATTTATTTTGTATATATTATGAACAATAGTGAGCTAAAGATTCATTATGGACTTTTAGTTTATATTTTTATTAACGTGTAAGCCTGTCAGTAAGTTTTAACAAAAAAAAGCCTGCCATCCAACACTTAACGATGATTGATGGTGATGCTCGATGTCCAATCACTCTCTCAGATAATGTTGATGCTCACACATCCATCAATGATTGACATAAATACTTGCTTCTCTCCATCTTTTGACGAATTTCATCACCAATTCACTAATATTTGCCCTCGACTGCCAACCAACCATCAACCATTATCACTACTAAACACAATCTCATGCCTAAATTTTTACATTGTAATCTTACCTTCTCTAATCACAAAATGAGCAAATTATACTGAATCACCAATTTAAACAAATGAAGATACATTTAAATAAGCTAAACCTAAATTTCCTTTTAATTTTGAAAAAAAAAAACTAATATAAAATTCTCATGCCTACCTCTTGTCTTTCAATTCTTTCATTATCTTCATGTCTCAACAAATTTTTTATCATTCCATAAGCATACACATTTTTTAAAATTTAAGAAATGCAAATAGTTTCACATTCATAATCTTCAACTTGACTCCACGGACAACAAATGGTTTCTTTCATTATCTTCAACTTAACTCAGCATCTTTGTATTCCTTTTTGTGTTTTAACTCGTAATCCCCTTTGGATTTTTTTTTTTATACTTCATTTGAGACTATTTTTTACTGATTTTAAAAGTAGTTTTTTAGTATAAAAATTAAATTTTTTTAGAAGCAATAAAAAACAATCTAAAAAATCATAATCTCTTACAACTTATGATTTCAAATACCAAATGATTGAAACATCAAGAAAATTAGGCCAAAATAAATAAAAAAACAACATAGCCCATAAAAGATAAGGGGAATGCCCTTCCAATAAAAATCTTAAAGCACAAAAACTTATATATTATTCTTCATATTTTTTTAAGGCCAATAAGCATTGGATATAACTATAGAATCTTAAATTTTAAATTTTTATATTAAAGCGCTCCAATTCCTTTATCCGAAATGACATTTCTAACCTTCCAACCCTTTAGTTGAAACTAGGAACTACTTGATGGCAGAATCGTTAAATTAACACAATGTTAGTGGTAGAAATTGGTTGTACATGCCTAGCTGTCATGAATTTGAAATAAAAATGGTAAAACAAAAAAAGTTTAAAAACCCCGCCAAGTTGCTCCAGTCGACAGTGCATAAGAGCGACGGGCCAATAAGAAATTGTGAATGAGTAGGGCACACCGCATCAGCCAATAAGAATCTGTAAACGCATACTGAAACCACCCGGTTTTAAAAACCGCCCATCGCTCCATTCTCTCACCGTCCTCAGGACTATTTATAAACGTCGCAGCCTCGCGAACCCCTCCGTCACCCCCATTTTTAGCATTCCTCCTCTCTCTCTCTTTCCTGTCTCTTCTTTTTCGTCTCCCAGCAGTCTTTCTGAAGTTCTGTTAGGGTTGGGTTTTGGAGAGGGCGGAGGAGATGGGAAGGGGAAGGGTACAACTGAAGCGGATCGAGAATAAGATAAATCGTCAGGTGACGTTTTCGAAGAGGCGGTCAGGGTTGCTTAAGAAGGCACACGAGATATCGGTTCTCTGCGATGCTGAGTTAGCCCTCATCATCTTCTCCAGCAGGGGAAAGCTCTACGAGTACTCCACGGACAACTGGTACGCTTCCGATCAAGCTCTTCTTCTGTCTCAGTATTTCTCATTTTAATTAGAATTTTGAACGAATTGAATTGCCAAGGAGAGCCGCAGAATTTCTCAACCCATTACGTGTTTGCAGTCAATTTATATTATGTAGATATTGGTGCTTTCGTATTGATGCCTGTCGTTGTTTTCATGATTGATATGATCAATTTATACGAATTGATGGTGCGTTGGTTGCAATTCTTCATGTAGATAAAAATGGAACAAAAAAAGTCTATGAAGAGCCACAATCACAAAAATTTGTCAAGAATTCACAACATTTGAGTCAAAATGGTAGAATGTTTTGTAGACAGTAAAACTTTAAAACTGTATAAAGAGAAATAACCTTTTGAGCGTTGTTTGGCTAATAAACTTATTGTAATTTTATTTTAATATCTTGCAGTAATTAGAAAATATTTATATATTTTAATTAACGGCCTTCATTTGTAATCAAAATTTTTGCGAGGAGCTTATAATGCAGTTATTTGGAAGAAAAAAATGTGTTCTTGTAAAGTAATTTTAGGAATAAAATAATTGTAGAAATAAGGGGGTACCTTGCTTAGTTGATTTGGAACTGTTAAGGTCAAGGTCAAGGTGATTTTGAAAGCGACTGATTTCTTATGCTTCGTTAATGCTGTGTGATAGTTAAGTCACTTTTTTGAGCGTACGATTCTCTCATTCAGGTCAACACGTTGGCTACAGTAAAACAAGTATTGTTCTGCATTCACTTGATGTTAAGATTTTGGGTAAAAAAAAATACTCGTTATACAAAGTATAGCAAATTTTTCTTTCTTATGTTGAGTGCTAAAGCATTTTTTTTAGGGGAAACTCACGGTGGGGCCTATGCGTTGATATAATTCAAAATTACAAGCCTTAAGAGGACATTCAACTCACTAATGCTCAAAAGAGCTACAAAATATAAAGAAAAACAAAAATCTAAGAGCCAATTGTCCCCTACTAAACCAATTACAAAAAAGCCTAGATACAATCTAAGACGACACGGAAGAAGCGTCCAAAAAAGAAAGAAACAATAATAAGCATTCAGCCCAGTCTTTCTAAAAAACAAAGCATGGAAGTCAAAAAAGACCTGCAATAGATCACATAAACAAAACGACAAAAAAATTCTTCAGGACAAGTAATCACGTTAGTAGATAAGAAAGGCGCAAAAGGCAATTGATGATAATCCTTGCATGAGTAGAAATTCTGCAAACAGTCCCAGGCATGTCTAATAAAGTTTAGGCTATCAAAATAAAACACTTCAATCATTAAATCAAAACCTTTTGAATTCGGACAAAAAAAACAACAACATTTCGGGGAGTCTAGCAAGGAACAAACTCATGAAAGATTATCTCCTTTGTGCAAAAGTTAACTTTGATTGAAGGGAAGAAGTTTTGGCTTGATTATGAGCATAAAAAAAAATGAAAATCTTAGCCAAAGATGGTCAGTGGAGAAGGTTTAGCAAGTGAAATAAAATCCTGAGAGAGTTTTATTGTGGTAAGGAGCCTACACACACATAACCAACCCCTATATTTATAAAAAGAATTTTGTTCAAGTAAAGAGAGAATTGGAGGGATATTATTTCAAAATTATTTAAACTAATAAGTAATAATAAGTTTCAGAATGCATTAGATACACCTACACCAAGCCATGGAGAATAGGAAATAAATCATGTGAATTTTTGCAAAGGGAGCTGATTTGACAATGCAATTGATTTGGATTCATGCAAGAGGAGTTCGTCTAAAGAATGATAAAACATTAACCATTTTATTTTATTACCAAATCATAAATCCAAGAGGTGTATGATTTAGCCAATGAATAAAGGTGATCATGAGGATAAAACAAATTAGGGCACATGGAAATTTGGCTAAGCAAGGTATAAGAATATTGCATCCTAAATGTATAAGAAGGCTTTGCATTTCATTTTAAAAAACAAACGGCTAAGCTACTGTTTGATTAACCAAAACCCTAAGGATGCAAATGAAGAATATGAAGAAAAGGGAGAAGAATATGAACAATAACAATGAGAAGAAAAAGAGAAGAAGAGGATGAAGTGAAGAGACTCACGGTGATGAGGAACGAAGGGACGGTCGGCCGGGATTCGCAGGAGAAGATTTCGTCGTCGCTGCTGAAATCGGTCCCGATCTTGCAAGCATAGAGCGAATGAAGAGAGGAATTAGGGCTTCGGGTATCTTAAAGTATCTGATGGGATTTGCCGGCAGTTTTAACCGGTGCAAATTGCACCGGTTTTAACCGTTACAATGGAAATCAAATTTCCGATGCAAAACGAGGTTTTGGCAGTGGTTCTTACAACCGGTGCAAAAAAGCGCTGCGATAGGGCTTGTTTTTTGGTAGTGTCTAAAGCTTCTGTTAACACTGCAGGTAGCGATATTGTTTGCTCCAATTCTTCGTGAGGTGAAGCTTGTAAACAATTAAGCTTAAGTGGGGTTTTTCGACCATTAATAGGTACATTTAATAGTTTTTATTTTGTTCAATGTCTCGGTAGTTGGGACTGCTTATGATTAGTTAAAATCAGTGGTCGGCCAGAAATTTATTCTGGGGGCTCAAATTAAGTTTTTTTTTTAAATATTATCTTAATTTTTTTTTTATTTTGACTTGAGATTGGCAATTTTTTTTAAAAAATATTATTATTTTAAAAAGATAAAATATAAGATGATAAAAAACTTATCGTTTATAATTTTTATTCTTCACATTCTTAAAGAATTGAATGATTACTTCAATCAAATATTTCTTTCTTTTCAAAAGTGATTAAATTATCATTGATTCATTGATTTTCTTTTCTATTTAGTAGGCAATTTTTATAATAGTTATAACAGGAAAAAACTTTCAACTTATAGTGTATTGATTTTAAAATTCAATTAATTTTTTTTAACTTATAATATCTAAACTCAATTTATTTATATATAAATAATGAATAAAAGTCAATAGCTATGTTTCAATTTTAATAAGGGGCGAGTGTGCCCCATCGACCCCCAACCCTAAATGTGTCACTAGTTGAGATCGGAGTATTTTTTATAATGTTTCTTATCCATACACATAGGGAATAAGGTTTAACCGTTTAAGTTCACATCGAATTTTCTCTTCTAAAAATATTATAATTTTTTTTTTTAACTTATGCATTTAGACAACAAATTTTGGAAGGTTGGACATGCTATATCGGAGAAGGTTTTTGGGTGAGGAGCTATGGAAGGGTTTTTGGGCATAGATGTTATTTCGTTTATGGGTGTTTCGTGAAATTGATAAAATGGACGCCATTTCTTGACATCGTCCCTATTTTGATTTCGTTTCCTCAATAGCACCCCCATCTCTTTTCTCCCCTCATTCTTTTCGGTTTGGGCTCTTTATTTGGGCGGCTGCTTCAAACTGATAACGCCATTGTTGTGGGTTCTAGGCCATCAATACTCGTATTCTTGTGCAAATTGACATATCTAAGAGATATCCTAATTTTGTTTGGCTTGATCCTGATAAATTTGGCTATATTCAAAAGGTGATTTTTGAAGGATTTCTTAGTTTTTGTTCTCATTGCAAAGCTATGGGTCATAACAATTCTGAATGTATTAAGTTGAATCCTTTGTTGAGAAAGGCTAACGTTACTTCTGTCACAACCCGACTCGATATTACATAAGTCATATCGTATCCGATTGTGACAAGACTAACCCCAATATCTGATTGGAGAAGTACTGAAACAAAACTTTCAATGTATATACTACACAGTCACTATTAAATGCAATTTAAGACGGAATACTATTGAATCTCAACATGATTTTTTTTTGTACATATCGTATAAAACATATATAATATGAAATTTATTTACAAAAGTGCTTGACAATATATAGCACAATAAAAAAATAAAAGCCAAGCCTACAAAAATCAAAACTAACAAAACATACCTACAACATAGATCAGAGTCTACTAACCCAACTACTTAGCTCGCTCCTTACCTTTCCTCAGGCCTGAAAATAAAAACAATAACAGGAATGAGCTAACACAGTTCAGTAGGCTATCATAGTCTAAAATAAAAATCAATAATCAAAACCAAAAGAACTGATATCACTGTGTTGAATTATATATATAAATTAAATATAATTAAATAAATACTAAAATTAATTGAATTATAAGCAAATACTTCATAACAGAATCTCTCCTCGATAGCCTATTAGCTTCGACATTATAACACTTAGGTAACAAAATCTCACTAGCAGAATAGAATCCCACCTCGGTCACCCACTAGTGCCAACATAATTGAATTCCACCTTGGACGCCCACTGGCACCAGCGTAACAGAATCCCATCTCGACCGCTGGGCCGCCGGCGTAATAGAATTCCATCTCGGTCGCCCACTAGTGCCGACATAACAAAATCTCACCTCAGCTGCCCACTGTCGCCGGCGTAACAAAATCACACCTCGACTGCCCACTGACATCGATGTAACAAAATTCCACCTCGACCGTCCACTAACGTCGGTGTAACAGGCCGCCCACTGGCGCCGCGTCACATCACAACACTGTATAATATATTTTTAATGCATTTCATTAATTAAAACATAATAAAACTGAATTAAAAAATTGTCAAAATATCCCAACAATAGACAACATAAGTACTATTGAGTAAAAAATTATAATTTTAAAACATAACTAAGTTACTACAAATTGTGTAAAATATTATTTTGAAGCTTTAATTAAACTGAAATACTATTTTTAGATGTCAAAATAAATTTCTAAGTAGGCAAAAATTACCCGGTGAAAAATTTTCAGAATATACTCAAAATGTTTGTAATCACAGTGTCTACAACATATAAAAAGTTACACTGAAAATTTACCAAAAAAATTTTATCGTCGTTTTTTAGTTACGGAAATACAAATTTGAGCTGAAAAATATATATATAAAATAAAATTATTGAAATCTAAAATAGGCAAAATGTAACCTACCTCGAGACGAACAAATTTTCGACCTGGGCCGGCG